GGGTGTTGTGGTTCCAGGCTCAGAGTCACTCATCCTTTTTCAAAAGTTATATGCAAAGAGGTGTTAGCTAAATGGTGACCAAAGTACTTGATTTATTAGTGTCTGGCAGTCATCCAGTATGTAGTAGAATACAAGACTCTCTGTCAACAATAGCTGCATAAGGAGCAAACTGCTCTGCCTGAACCTAAAATAAGGCCTTCTGCTGTCTGCTAATTAATTGAAGACAAATGAGCCGGGAATGGCTGATGATAAAACACCAACAACAAATAGGCAATTGTCATGCACACAGAGGTACTATCTGTGCCTCTTTGAGGAATAGAAGTCCCCTGACTTGGTTCTTACTTTGAGAGAAGCTAACCCAGCCCAGTAATACATTTTAGCTCCTTGCATGTATAATTATGATCAATGAAAAATAGAATACTACCGTTTTATTGGGCCAGATAAAAAGTTGGAGTAGGAGGGGGACTGAAGGGCCCTACTTGAGGGTGGGATTGAGATTAGAACGTGAAGAGAAGAGCAGAAAACTTCCTTCTTACACAAATAAAGGTTCTGTGTATTCATCTAGAAACATGAGTTTAAAAAAAAAAAAAAAAAAAACAGGAATGGAACTCTAGTTTCTAGTCTGTGGAATTGGGACAAATGGTAATTTTAAAGACTAAATGTGAACACTCATAGTCCTTTAATTTGATTGTGTTACCACTTAATTCATAGTTTTGAAGGAAATAGCCATTACATTAGATGGCACATTAATTTTAAGATGCATCCAATTTTCAAAATGTTAAAATGGAAAAGAAAGGGTGATTGTTAGAACAAGCATCTCCAAATATTCTATGTGAAGGCATTTTAGTTCCATGCTATTGCAAAGTTAAATTCAAAATTTTTTTCAAATTACTGGGTGTTATATGCCCTTCTGGTAGAAGTCACGTTTTCTCTTTCCTTTCTCCCTCTCTCTCTCCTCCCTCTCTCCTCCTACCCCACATCTATCACTAAAGACTACCTTGCTGTGGCCAGCTAGCTGAAAGAAACCATCTGCCTTAGGAATAAGCCTACACTAGATTCAAACTACAAAGAAGCAGGTTGGGGGAAAGAGAAAGTGAGGATTTCAAGTCAAGAAAGCATTATCCTGCCTACTTTGGCAAAGTGTTCTGCTAGCAGCTTATTTGGATTCACACTGTGGGTTTATTTCTTTCCATTTAATACGTTTTGTCAACCTTATAAAGCCAAAAAATAAAGAAACACCAATGGCACTGCTGGAAAGAGATAACTGATTTGTGAGGAACCTGTAGGCATTTTAATCACTAACCAATGTATCAAACTGGGCATAACTAATACATGTTAATAGCTTTCCTAAGGTAAAAAGCTTGGTTTGCAGTGAACAGCCCTTGTACTTTTCAGATTGTATTTTATGGTCTTGTGAATTGATGTTCTGTGGGGAAAACTTGCCTTAGTTTTAATGTAATGGTCCATGACTAAGAAAACTCAAGGAGTTGCTTTTTGTTTTCTATCTTCGATTTTTCCCCACTTCCGTGGTTCAAGTGGTAGGCCAGGGAAAGTCCCCAAACGCCAGTGGGACCAGGACCCAAGCCTATGTTTAGACTCTTGACACCACTGCAAGAAGGAATTCAAAGATAAATCAGAAAATAGTGAATATACACAGATTTTTTGAAAAGTAAAATGTACACACTCAAGAAAGGGCAGTGCAGACATACTTGAGGGAAAGTTGCCCAATGGAGTTTGGGGTTTTTACCTTTATGGGTTTCTTTAACCAATCCATGAAGATTCCTGGAAAGAGATGGAGATTTCTCAGAATGGTGGTGCCACCCATTTTTACCAAACATCGGTGATCCTGGAACTGTCATGGCAGTGGTGAGTGTGTCTTTATTATGTTAATAAGCATATAAAAATTTCTAGGCATAACCTAGGTCAACTTCAGAACCATTTTGGGTCTAGTCAGTCTTAGCCAGCTCAGCCCACAACCTAGTTTTTCAGGTTCTTATCAGTCCCTAACTTATTCAACTATTTCAAGTTTCCTTTTGCTAGTCATGTGAAACTGCTCCCTGGAATTTTCTATTCTCCTGTAACTGCCTTTTATTACTTCTGTCTCACAAGTGGTTAAGAATATAATGGTAAATTTCAAACCAAACAAACTTAGAGGGAAGGTATAATGAACCTATATATAGTCATTACCCAGCTTTAAATTTTTTTTTTCATTTAAATACATGTTTTATTTATTTTAATTTAAAATTGTTTTCTTCTTTTTTTTTTTAAACTCCCTGCATTTTGGGAGGGCGAGGTAGAAGGGTTGCTTGAGCCCAGAAGTTTGAGACAAGCCTGGGAAACAATGTGAGACCCCGTCTCTAAAAGAAAAAAAAAGCTGTGCATGGTGGCACTTTAAATTAGAAAGACTAAATGTAAACACTCATAGTTCCTTAATTTGATTGTATTACCACTTAATTCATAGTTTTGAAGGAAATAGCCATTACATTAGATGGCACATCAATTTTAAGATGCATCCAATTTTCAAAATGTTAAAATGGAAAAAAAAAAAGGGTGATTCATAGAACAAGAATGCTACTTGGTGCTACTTGGGAGGCTGAAGCAGTAGGATCACTTGAGCCCAGGAGTTTGAGGTTACAATGAGCCACGGCACTCTATCGTGGATGACAGAGTGAGACCCTGTCTCTAAAATAATAACTTAACTAAAATAAACCTAAAAAATAAAAAAAATGCAATGGTTAGTGAAATATAGCGCTTTTGTGAGGAGAGCAGTAATAGCCCAGGATATGTATAGTTTAAGAAAAGGAAAATGGTCTTAATCCATCTTGTGTTAAAGGAGTTTTAAAAAACTACTTTATTCAATAAAGATTCATTATTTTAAATGAATATGAACTTTCAAATATAAATTAAGTCTATTTCTGTCTTTAAAATTTCATTGGATGTAAATCGTGTTCAGTTTCAATTACTACCTGTGTATAAACACATTGTAAAAATCTCTGAATACTATGTGAAAGCATTTTTAACACTCATTTCTTTATGCTTCAAAATTTACTTCCTTGTATTTTTATATGTGTTCATTTGACCTTATCTAAAATGTGGCCATGTAATGTTTTTATATCCCATTTCACGCTTACCACAATACCGTGTACATGGCACCTATTCTGTACATATTTAACTTAGAGACAAAACTGTAAAAGTCTTATGTATGTTATCTGTATTTTTTTCTGCTTTAAAGATAAGGGGTCCAAATAGCTTTCTAGAGTTGCAAAAGATGAAAAACTCACTTTCAGAGGTCACGTGAGATTGGGAAATCATCCTGGTCTTACCCAAGGAGGTATATTGTTTAGAAACTTACATGCCCATCAGTTTCTTGTGCTGTAGTTTGAAATCAAGAAACTATCTCGGTTTCTTATACAGTAGTTCGAAATCAGGTTGTCAAGTTTCATTCTATTCTGCTAGAATGCACAAGAATCCAAAGCAATAATGTAATTTATACTTTTCAAAAGGCTAATGCCAAATTTTATTAGCAAAGTGGTCATAAGTCTCCAACTGGAACAAAGTGAATGATTGTTGGGCAATGTCGTCCTGCAATGTGAAATTCTTGTATGCATTCCTTCTGAAAAAGAAGCAAAATAAGCCTTTCCTGTAGAATTTCCACTTCAAGATTCCATCGTCGACACATAGCAAATACTGTTGGCAATGCTGACAGTTAAAAGCAAGGACTCACATAAAGTCTTTTGTTGCTGAAATTAAAAATAGTTGTCACTATTTTCAATATCAAAATCCTATGGTTTTTGACAGGTTTAAATTCTTTCTTGATTCATTTCAGAACAGGGTCATCTTTTTTATATTTCTTTGACATTTTTTAAAATAAGTAGTTTGGCTAGGAATTGAGTGTTTAAAGCCATCTTGGCCCTTTGCACCCTACAATTTTAGTAACATTGTCAACTGAATCAGTTCTTAAGAGCTGGAAACACAAAAAAGACAATTATCAAATAATTAATTAAAATCTTTTCTTGAATGACAAAATTGACATTATCTACTACTTATATAAGGAGATTACATTGTGGATTAACCCTAAAATTGGTACTTGGAAAGTTTATTCCACTGTGTTTTGTTGAGATTTAAATTCATGATATTTGAAAAATATAATTAAACACTGAGAATGATTCTTTTGGTTATTATATATTTGTTAAGTATTCCATGGTGTGACCTATAAATCTGTCGAATTAAATACTTGGGAATAAATCAATTTACTTTTACTTTCTTTGGAAACATTTGGATTACCCCAACAGTAGAAGTAACAGATTGAAAATATATTATTTATTTTCAACTTTCATTTCAATTTATATGCCACTCAAATGCCAATGAATAAGGATCACATTTGATTGTCAAAGCTCATTGAATGGTACACCTAAGATTTGTACTTTTTTTATATATAAAGTTTTCATTAAGAGAGCATGAATGTTGAACTCTAGTTAATGATATGCCTGCTGAAGTGTTTTAAGGGTGAAGAGTACTTGTCTGCAACTTACACTGAAATAAAATGGAGCAATATTTGGATAAAAGGATGAATCGACGTGTGTGTATATAATAAAGCAAATATAATACAATTTATTATTGAACCTAGATGGTGGGTATATGAGTGTTCACTGTAAAATTCTTCCAGCTTCTTTGTATGTTTGAAAATTTTTCATAATAAGATGTGAGGGAAAAGCTTAAAACATGCTTGAATTACATTTCTATAATGATGTATTCATATTAAATATTGGAAGTACTTCAAAGTTTACATGGAAAATATCAGTTTTTTTCATCTTAAAAGCATGTAATAAGAATTTTTAAAATTAAGTATTAAAAATAAGACTTTAATGTTTGAAAGTTAAATCTCATATGCCACTGTTTCTATTGTGGATTTTGGGGTTAGATCACTAGGTAGACAAGATATCTTCTTTCGGTGGCTCATATGTTCAAGACTTCAATTTGTAGTTCCCTCGCTAAAAAGAGCCTCCGATGAAACCTGTCTTGATAGGAACATCCGAAAGTGTTGATGAATGCCAAAGACTCTAATGGAAAACAAACAAACAATAGTAAAAAGAATTACTGTTTGCTTTAAAATTCTAGTAAAATGGAGTTAGACTACATGATGGAATTAATCCCATTTGTTATGCCAAGATTTAAGAAGCAATCTGTGGTTTATCATCTGGTTTGCCAATTTTTTTTTGTCAAACATAAGGAATATTTTAGTAATAATATAAAAATGATTGCATGCAATAATAGCTTAAATTTTAATACCCCTTAATGAGCATCCATAAAGAAAACAATTCAGTAACACTTAAAAATGATTTTAATATCAGTCATCATAATACGATGAACACATTTGATAGAGAATATGTGAATACAAGTACATATGAATCAGTTTTATTCTAGCTACAGATGCTGAATGGCATAGGGCATTATGAGTCTCATGAAGTTTTCACAGAAGTATTCAGAGGATCTGCACTACCAGATTGATAAAGACAATTTTTTGGTGCTTTGCCCACCCAAGGAACTTTTCTAGAAGAGTTTCAAAGAATACATGTCCAAGCATGAATCCTGGGAAAGAAAAATGATCTTATAAATTTGAAAAGGAAAGATGTATATGGCTCTCACATGAAACATCCTCTGGCAAGGGAGTAGGTATGTTATGGAAATACACGGATTTTCACTGAAGAACCGAAACTATAGGTAGCAAAGTAAACTTCATTTATTTTATTGAAATATTCAACTGAGGAAAATACATTACTTTTAGATTGGAAGATGCAAAGGCATGTGAAATGTTTTAAAGATGATGTCATTCTCTCGTTTCCTTTATACAGTTATTAGGTGGACTTTTCCTTATCATAACAAGTGTTGTTATAGTTTATACCTGCCTGCCAATCTGACTTTTAGTAGACTACCTGTTGAGAGGAAGTTTATTTCATTCTGTTATCTCCATCATTGAAAAATAACACAATCCATGTGAAGAAACAAAATTATATTTGTAATGTTCATATAAATATAGAAATATAGTTTAGGAGTCCACCTAATGCTAGAATTTTTATCGTATTTTAAGTGTAATGGAATTTTTAAATTTCCATATGACTTAATAGCTGGAAGGAAGCATTAATATTTAAATATTAATTTCAATACCAAAGATAAAACAAATTAATACTTTTGAATGAATATTTTAAGCTCCCTAATGAGAAGATAATTGCATAAAATTAAGTATGTATTTATAGTTTCAAGGACTAAATCATTTGTGATATATGACCATACTACCTACCTGATTCATCTTTTTGCCAAATATTTCCATATTAATTTTTGAAGTCAGTTCTCAGTATATATCAACTTTTACTGTTGTAGTGGGTGAGAGAGTGGAGAATCAGGCTTCAAGGTTAATTTATAATTTACCATGTGAACATAGCCAGGAGTTAAAATGACCTTTAAACATTTTATGAATTGCCTATTTCATTATTTGTGGATTTTATATATGCAACCCTGTATCATAATTATTAAGCATACAAAAGTTTTAGAACTACTAAAGAACCAAAGAAAGTCTGTTTTGCGGATATTTAAGACATACGATTATTTCCTTTACAAATAACTAAGAAATACCTAGTGATGAATAAGATTTGGATAGGTGATTCTATAGCTATTAGCCACCTGCGGCTACTTAAATTTAAGTTCATTGTAATTAAACAAAATAGAAAATTTGGTTCACCAGTCACAGCAGCCAGATTTCAAGTACTAACCCCCAAATGTGCTTAGTAGCTTCATATTGAAAAGCACAGAAAGACATTTTTATCATTGCAGAAAGTTCTACTGAAGAGTATTGTTCTCAACTGTCTGTCTCCCTGGGATTTTTTCTGTTTTGTTAGAAGATCAAACTTCTAAAAACCTAACACATTGTTTTGAGAATTATAGAAGCTATTTGAGACTCAAGTTATCTGATAGAAAAACTCGATTGTATATTTTACATGTTCTATTTTCTAAAAATATTAAGTATTTTTAAAATAAGAGTGCTTAATAAGGATTATTGATATGGGACTGCATATTCCCTGTCATTTAAAAAGTGGTCAGCACATGGAAAAAGATCCCTATATAGTTTAATTAAAAGTCACTTTTTCTCTCCTAAAATTATTCTTTTTAAAAATATATTATACTTTAAGTTCTGGGGTACGTGTGCAGAACGTGCAGGTTTGTTACATAGGTATACATGTGCCATGGTGGTTTGCTGAATCTATCACCCTGTCACCTACATTAGGTATTTCTCATAATGCTATCCCTCCCCAATGCCCCCAACACCTGCTATCCCTCCCCTATCCCAACCACCCCCAACAGGCCCCAGCGTGTGATATTCCCTTCCCTGTGTCCATGTGTTCTCATTGTTCAATTCTAACTTATGAGTGAGAACATGTGGTTGGTTTTCTTTTCTTGTGTCAGTTTGCTGAGAATGATGGTCTCCAGTTTCATCCATGTCCCTGCAAAGGACATGAACTCATCCTTTTTTATGGCTGCATAGTATTCCATGGTGTATATGTGTCACATTTTGTTTATCCAGTCTATCACTGATGGGCATTTGAATTGGTTCCAAGTCTTTGCTATTGTGAACAGTGCTGCAATAAACATACATGTGCATGTGTCTTTAGAGTAGAATGATTTATAATCCCCTGTGTATATACCCAGTAATGGGATTGCTGCGTCAAATGGAATTTCTGTTTCTAGATCCTTGAGGAAGCGCCACACTGTCTTCCACAATGGTTGAACTAATTTACACGCCCACCAACAGTGTAAAAGTGTTCCTATTTCTCCACATCCTCTCCAGCATCTGTTGTCTCCTGATTCTTTAATGATCACCATTCTAACTGGCATGAGATGGTATCTCAATGTGGTTTTGATTTGCATTTCTCTAATGACAGTGATGATGAGCATTTTTTCATATGTTTGTTGGCCACATAAATGTCTTCTTTTGAAACGTATCTGTTCATATCCTTTGCCATTTTTTGATGGGGTTGTTTTTTTTCCTTGTAAATTTGTTTAAGTTCTCTGTAGATACTGGATATTAGCACTTTGTCAGATGGGTCGATTGCCAAAAATTTTCCCATTCCGTTGGTTGCCAGTTCACTCTAATGATAGATTATTTTGCTGTACAGAAGCTCTGGAGTTTAATTAGATCCCCATTTATCTATTTTGGCTTTTGTTGCCATTGCTTTTGGTGTTTTAGTTATTAAGTCCTTGCCCATGCCTATGTCCTTAATGGTATTGCGTAGGTTTTCTTCTAGGGTTTTTATGGTGTTAGGTCTTATGTTTAAATCTTTATTACATCTGAAGTTAATTTTTGTTTAAGGTTGTAAGGAAGGGATCCAATTTCAGCTTTCTGCATATGGCTAGCCAGCTTTCCCAGTACCATTTATTAAATAGGGAATCATTTCCCCATTGCTTATTTTTGTTAGGTTTGTCAAAGGTCACATGGTTGTGGATGTGTGGCATTGCTTCCAAGACCTCTGTTCTGTTCCATTGGTCTATATCTCTGTTTTGGTACCAGTACAATGCCGTTTTGATTACTGTAGCCTTGTAGTATAGTGTGAAGTCAGGTAGTGTGATGCCCCCAGCTTTTTTTTCTTTTTTTGCTTAGGATTTTCTTGGCTATGCGGACTCTTTTTTGATTCCATATGGTGGTTTCTGCCAATTTTGTGAAGTACATCAATGGTAGATTGATGGATATAGCAAAGAATCTATAAATTACTTTTAGCAGTATGGCCATTTTCACAATATTGATTCTTCCTAACCGTGAGCATGGAATGTTTTTCCATTTGTTTGTGTCCTCTCTTATTTCTTTGAGCAGAGGTTTGTAATTCTCCTTGAAGAGGTCCTTCACATCCCTTGTCAGTTGTATTCCTAGGTATTTTATTCTTTTTGTAGCAATTGTGAATGAGAGTTCACTCATGATTTGGCTCTCTGTTTGTCTATTATTGGTGTATAGGAATGCTTGTGGTTTTTGCAATTTGATTTTGTATCTTGAGACTTTGCCAAGTTGCTTATCAGCTTAAAAAGATTTTGGGCTGAGATGATGGGGTCTTCTAAATATACAATCATGTCATCTGCAAATAGACACAATTTGACTTCCTCTTAGCATAAATGAATATCCTTCATTTCTTTTTCTTGCTTGATTGCCCTGGCCAGAACTTCCAATACAATGTTAAATAGGAGTGGTGAGAGAGGGTATCCTTGCCTTGTGCCAGTTTTCAAAGGAAATACTTCCAGTTTTTGCCCATTCAGTATGATATTGGCTGTGGGTTTGTCATAAATAGCTCTTATTATCTTGAGATATGTTCCTTCGATACCTAGTTTATTGAGAGTTTTTATCATAAAGGGCTGTTGAATTTTGTCAAAGGCCTTCTCTGCATCTATTCAGATAATCAGGTGGTTTTTGTCTTTGCTTCTATTGATGGGATGGATTACATTTATTGATTTGTGTATGTTGAACCAGCCTTGCATCCCAGAAATGAGGCCAACTTGATTGTGGTGGATAAACTTTTTGATGTGCTACTGGATTTGGTTTGCAAGTATTTTATTGAGTGTTTTAGTATCCATATTCATCAGGGATATTGGCCTGAAATTTTCTTTTATTGTTGTGTCTCTGCCAGGTTTTGGTATCAGGATGATGTTGGTCTCATAAAATGGGTTAGGGAGAATTCCCTCATTTTGTATTGTTTGGAATAGTTTCAGAAGGAATGGTACCAGCTCCTCTTTGTACCTTTGGTAGAATTTGGCTGTGAACTCGTCTGGTCCTGGACTTTTTTTTGCCTGGTAGCGTATTAATTGCTGCCTCAATTTCAGACCTTGTTATTGGTCTATTCAGGGATTTAACTTCTTGGTTTAGTCTTGGGAGGGTGTAAGTGTCCAGGAATTTATCCATTTCTTCTAGATTTACTGATTTATTTGGATAGACGTGTTTGTAGTAATCTCGGATGGTAGTTTGTATTTCTGTGAGATTGGTGGTGATATCCCTTTTATCATTTTTTATTGCATCTAATTGATTCTTTTTTCTTT